AATATTTTTTGTTGAAATAAATTTCTTATAACATTTATTAATAAAATGCTTGATTTCATATGCACATTTAGATATTAAAAATAAACAATAATCATTCAGTGTTTAGATTTAGAGACAACATCTTAAAATATTCAGATGTGTATTTAAATCTAAGCGCCTAGCTCTTAATGCAAATCGTAATGTTCAGACGTGTATTTAGATTCAGAGGTCTTAATTTTAATAAAAACAAATGAGGCCTAAATATCCAAGGTATGATACGCGTTAGTGCGTTGTAGTCCCCAATTTGCAAGTTTATCAGTCATCTTATTCACCTCCTTGAAAATGTTGTATAGATATTTCGCCAATTATTGAAAAGAGATGAAAATGCCTTTGACATCCCAATGAAAATACTTTTTATTCGAGATCCAATTAGTAAGAGCACAAAATCAAATATACGAAATTTGGTTTGGAATTGAAAAAAATGATTTGTGGATTCTTGTAAAAGATAGTAAGAGAAAGAAATGGTGATTTTTTAAGGCCATTTGGAGGTGGCCGAACCGACGACAATTGTTCGATTTTTCTCAAACCGACGAAATTTACGGTGTGTTTGGTATGAAGAAAAATGTTTTCCATGGAAAATGTTTTCCTATAAAATATTTTATATTTTTGAGAAAATATCTTTTATTTTTAAGTGGAAAATAATTTTTGAATTGAAATTGAAAATATTTTTAAAAAATAAACTTAAATCTTTTTGGGGGAGGGTGGGGTGTTGGGGGGTAGGGGGTAGGGGTGAGATGGGGTAAAAAAAATAACAATTTAAAATTAAAAATATTTTTAAAAAAAAACTTAAATTTTTTTTGGAGGGCGGTGGAGGGTCGCGGGGGTGAAAAAATAAAAATTTAAAATTGGAAATATTTTTAAAAATAAACTTTAAATTTTTTTTTGGGGTGGAGGGCAGGATAGGGGTGGGGTGGGGGATGAAAAATAAAAATTTGAAATTGAGAGTATGTTTTCAAAACAAACTTTAAATTTATTATTTTGGGGTGGGGGTGGGGGTGGGGGTTCAAGGGTAGAGGTGAAAACAAAAATTTGAAATTGGAAATATTTTTTAAAAACAAACTTGAATTATTTTTTTTTGGGGTGGTAGGGGGAAGGTGGAAGGGGGGATCGGGGTGAGGGTGGGTAAAAAAAAAAAAAAAAAATGAAGTTGAAAAATATTTTTTAAACATAAACTTTAAATTTGTAAAAAAAAGAACAAAAAAAATTGAATTTTTCAACAAAAAAATTGTAATTTGAAGTTGGAGGAAAGTTTAGGAAAATGTTTTCCTTAATTTTTGAAGGGAAATCATTTTCCTTAAATTTGAGGAAAATGAATTGATTTGGAAAATATTTTACCCAACTAAACATGAGAAAATTGAAAAACATTTTCTGAAAAATGTTTTCCTTCATACCAAACAGACCCTTAATCAAAAAATAAACTTGAATATTCATGTTAAGAAAGGTGCGGAAAAGAAGTGAAATTTTGGGGTCATTTGGAGGTTGCTGACCAGAGGTCCGGTGGTGGTTGACAGTGTTTGAGTGAGGTCGTGCCAAAGAAGACAATAAAGAGATACCAAATACATGTATCTTTAATACTAGATGAACATGTATCTTTTGATATCATATACATATTTGATGATTGTATCTAGTCATTCTTCTTCTTTTTCTAAGTATGGATCCATGATCAGATACATTATTGAATAAAGTAGTGCATATTTAATACCAACTTATTTGATGAATATATTAATGTTTATTTGATACCAATAAAAATTACTTAATTCGGATACATGTGATTTTTTTATAGTCAAAAAGTAGGCATATTTATTGTATATGAAAAATATATCATTGTTCATAAATACATGTATCTGTAATCTATATCAATAACTTATCTATAATTGTGCCTTCATTTTCTGATACATATTTTTGAATTGTTTTGATACAGTTTTTCACTAATATTTACATGTATCGCCAAAACATCTTATGTAAATTTATATTATTAATATATGGTAACACATCAATAAATCTTAGGTACAATTAAACGGTCACGCACAAAATTGTATCTTAGATACAAGTAATCTACAATTGAATACAAAAAAAAAAGAAAAAAGGAAGAGAGGTTGTTAGGTCAGTAAATAACAAAATTATTGTTGGATTGGGTAATATAGTCATATACTATAACTATTTATGAAATTCTTTTATATATATCAACTATAGAAAAAATAATCAAGATTAACTTTAAATTCCTAATCTTGTTGAGACGACCATATGATTAGGAGGCAACACTATCTTATAATTACCAAACTAGCTATCAGCAACGTTGTACAAATACTCAGCTAGTTTATGTGAACACAAAAGTATTACATTATTAGGACGACACTGCAAATTGTGAAATATGTGAAACAGACACAGAAATGAGAATTTTAATAAAAAGCAAAGGTTCAAATTAGTTGGCTTGCATACTTTTGTGATACAAATTGAACAGTTTACCCAAACACTAAAAGATCAGTTACACGATATTTGGTGAAAATTGGATCCTTTGATTAGTCATCGAGATTTAGTAGCATAGCTACATAAACAAAATGGTGATCAGTTAAACACCCTTTATCAAAAATATAAAAAAATAAGTATAATCATGGTCCGATGAAGCCTAAAGCAAGTAAAACACTTGCTTTAGACCCCAAGATTTTTAAGGCCCCCAATATAATATTTATTTATTGTGACATAATAACTTTGCTCACAAATTTTTAAATATTTTTTTAAATAAATTTCATATTCAAACACAATTTTAAAATATGTACGCTCTTATACAATTTCAATTTCAAATACCTATTTTTTGTTTTTAAAAAAGTCAACCAATATTGTCCGAACGAGCTATAATTAATTATTTGAGTACAATTTCTATTATTTTTTAAAAATAATTTTTTTGTCGAATTCTCACACTATGCAAAGATATATACGAGGCTTATCAAATACTCCCTCCATTTTAATGTAGTTGTCGTAATTTGTATATTTCTATATTAAAAAGAATATTCTAGTGTTACTTTCTGTTTTAGCGTTAATGGCATTTTCTTATAATAAGAATAGCATGACAGGTTTAAAGGCACAAATATCAAAGACTAGTTTTTACTCTCTTCTTTTATTTTTAGTTGTTATGGTTTCTTTTTTTAGAGTGATTAAACTATAAAAACTTTGACTAATTGTCATGTATTTTTTCATCATATTGATATGCAAGAAATTGCAATTTATAGTACTTTTAATATAGTTTTTGAATATCTAAATTTTTGTTTAAAATATCTAATTAATGTAATCTAATTTAGCTTTGAAAATTAGTTAAATTGACTTTTGAAAAGCACAACATGACAAATAAAAGTGGACGGAAGTAGTATTTGTTATATGGAGTTACGCACTATTAATTTAAGACAATTATAGTAAACTCTTTTATATATCCAAAACTTCACGCCGAGTCAAATTAAAACATATAAAATAAAATGAGTGAAATAAATTTTAGGCCTTTTTTAGTTATTGTCTTTTGGCTAACTATTTTGTTGAGCCGCCCTTAAGTATAATAGTCAAATATGTTTTCCGATAAATATATACTCAATCAAGAATATCTTTAACGAAATTGTTGGTTTTGCCACTGTAAGGAGTACCAATCAAACAACTGGTCAATCTATATTTCTGCATTGACAATAGTAACAAGTTAATCCCATATTTTATGAATATACTAATTATTATAAACATATACAGATGGACTGTCACTTTTGGAGAGACAAAATAAAATTAGGAAAAAAATAAAAACTTATGATGTTGTAACTAAAGACCAACAAGCAGACATGTCACAAAAGAAATTACAAGGACAGAACATGAATATTAATATTGGTAGTTACAATTTATAACTAAAATTAGTTGGCTAATAGTAACTATAGTTAGCTATTAGAACTGTAGTTAGTTGTGTAATGTCAATTAAGTAGTAAGGTGAGCTGATTAGAAGTAGTTTAACAACCCCTACGATTATGATTGTAATATTTTCTTACAGAATTAATAGACTTTACATTTTTCATTCATTCTATAATTCTATATCTATCATTTTATCTTTCTTAAACCAAAACCAAGAAACACCATAGCTGATCTTGATTTCAAACTCAGATCTAGAAATTTTACTAGGCATCTATTTGGAACAGTTCAAATAGTTAATGCTTGATAAGTTGGGTTTTAAAAGGTATCTTAGGGAATACAGGATGAACAACAGATACAATATTAAGTGGATTTATATTACTATGTATGATTGAATTTTATAGAATAAACGACAGATAAATAACTGAAAATTGATTCTAAGACCTTTTAAAAATATAAATGGGAAATGTGGTTGTCTTTCATATCTAGAAGTTAACGATGAGTAGCTTTGGTAGAATCAACGGATTTTGTAGTTTCCGGCATGTAAAACAGAGTATTAAATTTCAACTAGAACAGTAAGGCAACATACAGAATGCAAATACTCTTAATTGCAGAAGTATAGGTGATGTAACTCATTAGCATTTAAAAGAAAGGGAATTCAATGTAATGACAAAAGGAAGTTCAAAAAGTAGATGCTATATATTATGTGTTCAACTTTCAAGTGTGAATTTTAACCCCCTTCATCTGCAGTTATGCCTCTCTAGTCTCTACTAATAATTGAAACATGATAAAGACAAAGACTCACTGATTTTCCCTAATAATGTTTGGACCAACAGTCAAAAAAGAGACACATAAATACGTGCTATCACGTCGTAAAGCACGTCTTGTGATGGCCGTCCACTGTCGGTTCCCCTTCCCTTACTTTGAAATTAAATTAATTTTCTTTTCCTAAAATGCTTTTGAATCTTTCCTTTTAGTACTCCACTAGTTGCTTTCTCACTTACTAACCCCCAAAACTAACATAAAAATAAATAACCCCATTACAATTACAATTGTTTCAATCATTCATCAAAATAATTTTTATTTTCTCTCCAAATGAGGACACTATGCCCAAACTTGGATAGAGAAGATGGGCTGGAAACAGTGCTGGAAGTTCCCATCCCAGAAGAAATGTTTGCTTCTCCTAAACACAGGACACGGCATAACATGAAATATCACACGGACGAAAAGTCAGCTGCTTCCGTATTTGGTAGCCGAGATGCTGAAATTCAACTCTTGCTCGGCGTTGTTGGTGCTCCCTTAATCCCTCATCCTATCCGTTCTCAACATTCTATCAATACTAAGATCAATGATCATCCCATCGTAAGTTATTATGATTTTCATGTTCACGGACTAAACAATTAACAAAAATTGTCATTTCAATTGATGATGAACCCATTAATTAATTACATGTTGAATTTTGTAATCTAAAACTTTATATCTTATTTACTTAATTAGTAGTATATTTTAAACCTATTCAGGAGGCTTCGATGGCGAAATATATAGTACAACAGTACATAGCGGCAGCAGGGGGAGAAGGTGCTTTGAATTCGATTGATAGTATGTACGCAATGGGAAAGATAAAGATGGTGGCGTCTGAGTTTAGTGCAGGAGATGGTATGGGTTTAAACAAGGGGAATATGATGAAGATCAAAAGTGTGAAAAATGGTAGTGGAGAAATGGGAGGATTTGTGTTGTGGCAGAAGAGACCTGACCTGTGGAGCATAGAGTTGGTAGTTTCAGGCTGTAAAATAAGTGCTGGAAGTGATGGTAAAGTGGCTTGGAGACAAACTCCATGGCATCATTCTCATGCTTCTCGTGGTCCTGCAAGGCCTCTTCGTCGCTCTTTACAGGTACTTACATTATCTCTATTGCATTGATTTGTAACATAACTTGAAAATTGTTTCTTTTGTTGTTTCAACTACATGACTGTATTTTGTGTGATTAAAAGTAAATTTCAACAATGACAAAGTTAAATTATTTCAAAATAAAGAAAATAGGTTAAACTACACATGAATATAAACATTCTTTAGAAAATCAATGTATGTCACTTAAATTCAAATAAAAATTACCAACTTCCTTTCAAAAATAAAAATTAATCCATTTGTTAGTGATGATTTAATACTACAAGTATCAAGTGAAAGTGAATTTTTTTTACCACAAACTGGAGCCCTCTTTGAAGGGACAATAATTGGCAAATAGCTAACTGACAACCATACATGTTTTTTCACTTTGTGTGGGGCCCATGTTTAATTAATCGCTTTAACTTGAACTTGGAAAGTGTGAAATCATCATGAATATGATCAAAATTCCTTTGGTATTTGTATTCTTTTTTACTTTAGAGGTGGAGGGAAGGACCTACTTATAAAGCTGATTGTCATATATTGTCATGGCAGCTTTTGCTTTTTTCTTTTTCTTTTTTGGGGCCATATTCCTAATGAGGACCTGAGTTGTCCTTCCACCAAATCAATGATTGATGTAATCAATACTCCAATTAACATCTACTATGAAAATGTGCCACACATCTTAGCCTTAACCTCTATCATCTGGTATCTAAACCAAAAAGTCAACATTTATATAAAATGATGATTGCTAGTGGCAAGAATATGAATCAATAAATATATTCAATGAAAGAAGCAAATGTCGACTTTTTTTTCCCCTTGAAGCTATTACCAGTCAGCACGTTCTAAAGATGGCGAAATTCTTGGATTAAAAGCACCTAAAATAAAAACAAGACAATATTGAACAAGTATAATTATTTAGTATCAAAATTTACAGCCTAGTGATATTGATGAAAGTCTTTCACACAATAAGTGTGTGGTACCATTCTCTGCATCCCCTGGCCCTTCACACAGTATAAATAAATAATGCATGTTTAGTATTTTGTTTATGTATGAACTCAGGGGCGAAGCTAGGTAGGGGAAATGTTTGGTGAAAAACTATACTATTTTTAGTATATACGGTAGATGTTGAGTCCTTTGACTTGTTGTTTGTAGTTTACTTTTACATATTTTTCACTCTGATAATAAAAATTCTGGCTCATCAATTAGTATGAACTAACTGGCTGCAACTTAATGGTGAAAACAGGGTCTTGATCCAAAATCCGTTGCTAATTTATTCTCAACGTCGATTTGTATTGGAGAGAAGACAGTGAATGAAGAAGACTGTTTCGTACTAAAGCTTGAAGCAGAGCCCTCATCTCTAAAAGCAAGAAGCAGCAGCAAAGTAGAGGTAATGAGGCACACTGTATGGGGCTACTTCAGCCAAAGAACAGGGCTCTTGTTCCAGCTTGAAGACACTCATCTTTTGCGAATTAAAGCGCCAGGAAATGATGTCTTTTGGGAAACAACAATGGAGTCATTAATCCTCGATTATCGAACAATAGACGGTGTTAATATTGCACATGCTGGTAGGACCTCTGTTTCTCTCTTCAGGTTTGGTGAGAACACTGAAGGGCACACTAGAACAAGGATGGAAGAAGTTTGGACTATTGAAGAAGTTGATTTTAACATAAAAGGACTCTCCGCCGACTGTTTCTTACCGCCTAGTGACTTGATGAAAGAAGATGAAATGGGACATGATGTAAACAAGAAGTCAAGGTTGGGATTCAAGACTCCTAAAATAAGAAGTTGTAGGAGAAGTGTATCTAAAATAATGTCTATTGATGAAGAAGATCTTGAAGACTATGAAGCAGATGAAGAGTCTTGAGAAGTTTAATTATATTTTGCAAATGGCATATTTAGTATTATTCTGTGGTCATTTTTGTACATGGAACACCACAGGATATACATATATATGTTTCTATGTCATAAGTATTTCAAATAGGATTTAACTTGTATTACACTAACACTAAAAACAATTTTCCAGTGACTTGGTTGGAAGGTTGTTTTTTTTTACTGATATCATAAGGTCAAATAATTTGCTAATTTGAGCCTACATCTCCTGTAAGTTTTGAGGAAGGATATAGTAATGTCTATGAAGCGAATACATTAACGTTCAAGCAATGAATAAAGAGAAAGAACGGTGACATTCCTATGTAGTATTAATCATGTAACTTCCTCCATATTTTTGGAGAAAATTTCGCTAAAAGGAAGTCTCAAGATAGAGGTGTATGACGATTTTAATGTGTTGTTGAACTTCATTAATGATGAAGACAACAATATGGTTTTGTACAATAGAATGATCAGACTTCAAATATGGGTACAAATTAGGTGCACTCTCAATTTCAAATCAGAATAAGACCTTCCTTTTGTTCCAATTGGGGCCAATGATCAGACAACACTGTTTATAGAATCAACAGATAGGGCCAAAGTGAACCTCCTTAGGGAGTCTATAAACCTACATGAGTCGTGTTTGGAATTGACAAACCTCATCTTACCAACGAAATAATGAAAAGCAGAATAATATTGAAAACAAAAGGAATAAGAACAATAACACTGATGTGGGAAAGGAGAAAACTAATCAGACTAATAGTCAATCAAACTAAGAATGCCATAATGAGTGAAACTCAAACATCCAGCAAGACCAATTTTGAGAATTAAGAGTGATGATCAGCTACAGGAGTCTACAATGACATAACGAGTTGAAGCCTTAGAAATAGGGAAATGTTGCTGAGAGCAGTAAAAGGGGATGAAGTTATTGTTGGGTATATAGCAAGAATTAATGGAATACAGAGGGAAGAAGAATTTGAAAGGTTCTCTAATACTTTAGTAAAAGACATTTCTCCCTCATTGGTGGTGGAAATAAAAGTTAAAGTGTTTAAATAGAGAAACACTTCTACTATTTGTTAAAAGGGTTGGAAAGAGGGACCCCCTCGCGCCGTCGTCGTTGCTCAGCTACGGCTACGACTACGGAAGATGATCAATCGAAACATCTTTCCTGCTTTATTTGAAATTCCCACCGTTGTAGATGATTGTTCTGAAAGGTTGTAACTTTCAGGAACAACTATGACCCTTTGAAAGGTTGCAAACTTTCATTAATGGTCGGCTACGACTTTGGAAAATGATCAATCAAAACGTCTTTCCCATTTTATTTGAATTTGAGGAACAACTATGACCGTTTGAAAGATTGCAAACTTTCATGAATGGTCGTGTGACATGTGAATCCTCATATTTTTTACTTATGAAATTTCTGAACTTCTTCCTCTGCACAAATTTGTTATTCGTGTACTTTATTGTCGTTAAGTTGCTCGCTGACACCATTGTTTTGGATATCAATACACTGGTGAATAGAATCGTTCTATCCCGAGAGGATATATTCCAATTCAAACCTCGGATACTAGAGGGGAACAATTTACTTAAGGGGATACTGTGCATTCAGTGGGTTTGATTTTCTTTCCTTTCTATTTCATACGATTGTTACAAATTATGGTATGTTTTACAGTAATTAATTTATGTTAATTGATTTCTATTCTTCACTACTTGATTTAAACTTTGGAATTTACTATTTCTGCAAAGTTTTTTGTTATCACTAGTATTAATTTAAAATACCGATTGCATAACAGTTGTTACTATTAAAGATCACAATGAGATACATGTGGATTTGTTTGGGGATGACCGATAAGAAGCAAGAGGAAGGAAAAATATTAGAAGTTCAAACAAATCCCTCAATAAAATCTAGGAAAATACTCAGGACAATAGACATTACTCAAATTCTTTAGGAACAGAATACTCCCATTATTCAAAATAGTTTTGATAATTTAAAAGACAAGGTATACTTGATTAAAAAAAAAACAGAACCAACAGGAAGAGATATAGAAAAATACTGAACAACAACATGAAAATTGTAATGACATACCCGTCGCTATAGTTATTTGAAGCCATAGTATCCTTGAATAGGTTCCATGGGTCAAGAATTGGCAAGAAATCAAACAATGAACAAAGTGGGGCAAACTGTCCAGGCTTCGCTATAGTAAAGCCCTCCTTCGCTAGCGACCTTCACAATAGCGAAGGGATTTTCGCTACAGTGAAGTGTTACAATAATTAGGGAATTCACAAGTTAGTTGATCAGGAAGTTAGTTAAACTGTTAGTGTAACTGAATCTGTTAGATAGAATAAGTCAGTTAAGATGTATTCTTCATAAATAAATTGTAATCATCAGTTACAGGGAATATATGAAATATACATATCACTTTCTCTCTTCTTCTCTATGTTTCTCTCTTCTTCTATTCATCTCCATTGATTGAATCCTCGAGTTCTCTCCTGGACAATCTTTCGATCCTCGAATCTTTAGGATCCTGCAATCGAGTTGGGGAAACAAATAATGACAATTCTGTAGCAGAAATTGGGGATTTATGGGATATAATGCAAAATCCGGTAACAGAGATAGGAAATTTAGCTGGTAAGGTCTCATCCTTGGAGAAATTAGATCATGCAGTGATGTAATTGAGGAATCAGATTTCAGCAGACAATCGCAGGGGTACTGTTACATTGGGACAAGGGGTGTTGCTGATGGAAATGATGGTTTAGGGGTTCCTAGGGAAAGGGAAAGAAGTCCTCGCACAAGTAATAATTCCCAATCTCACCAATCGAACTTCAATAGGTGGTCACGAATGGAGTTCCTGAGGTTTTGGGGGGAAGATCTTAGGTCATGGTTGTTCAAAATTGATCAATTCTTTTCCATGAAGAATATTGGTCATGACGAGAAAGTTACAGTTGCAGCTTTGCAATTGGAAGGGGAAGCCATCCAATGGCATTTGTCATTCAAGAAATATAGACCATACTTACAACCACCCATTTAGGGTGACTATGTGAGGGAATTGGTTGAAAGATTCGGTACTGATTTTGATGATCCAATGGAGGAAATAATAAAGATCAAGCAAGTTGGTAGTGTAAAGGATTATCAGTCAGTGTTTGAGAGAAACTTGACAAGGGTGAATTTGTCACAAGAAAATGCTATTAGCTGTTTTATTGGAGGTCTAAAACCTGAGTTGAATATTGTTGTGAAAATCACCAATCCTACTTCATTATATCATGTGTATAGGAGTGCAAGAATGCATGAAGCATACCTACAGGCGATAAGGCAACCTGACCATAATCAACCTCAGATGAATACAAGGAAGTTCTTGGACTAAAGGAATTTTACTAGTAAACCTCTTTTACCTACTCCAGGTAGCAATAATTCCAGCTTTATTAAATGAGTCAGTAGAAGAATTGTGAGCTTAGAGGAGATGAATGAAAAAAGGGTAAAAGGGTTGTATTATTTTTTCACTGAAAAATACACGCAGGGACACAAATGTAAAACTTCTAAATAATTATATTTGTTGGAAGTGGAAGAAGGGGATGAGTTGCAGGATTCAGTAGAGGATCAAGGGAATATCTTGCAAGAATCACAGAGTGATACGTTAGATTTGGGGCAACCTATGGAGCACATGGAGATCTCAATGCATGTTTTAAATGGGTCATTGGGTTTTAGGACTTTGAAAGTAACTGGGTACCATTATAAAATGGCATTACATATCCTCATTGACACTGGTAGCTCTCATAATTTCATAGATTTTGATTTAGTCAAGCAGTTAGGGTGTGAGGTGAAGTCCATTAACACTGAGGTGGTTGCAGCAGCTAATGGAAGTACGAAGGTGGACAAAATGACTTATGTTACTTGGTTGTTACAGGGAGCAGGGTTTGTTGCTGACTTTTTACTACTTCCACTAGGTTCATATGGGGTTGTGTTGGGGTTCAGTGGTTGTTAACATTAGGTGATATCAAGATGAATTTTAGGAGTTTTACAATGGAGTCTTGGTACAAGGGTAGAAAGCATTTACTCAAGGGATCTGTCAGTCAAGTATTAACTTCTAGTGTTGGAAGATTGTCCAAACACTTAGGAAATCAGTCCCAACTTTGCATGATTCAAGTAGTCCCTCAAGGGAGTGATGAAATCAAGGGGCATTCATTGGACAACGACAAACAAGCTGAGGAAAATCATGCATTATTGGAGGTATTATTAGAATTTTCTGTTATATTTGATGATCCTGTTGGTTTACCACCTTCTAGAGGTCTATTTGATCATCGAATTGTACTACAATCTGGTGTGGAGCCTGTGAATAAGAGACCCTATAGATGTCCTTCAGTAAAAAATGATGTTATTGAGGGTCTAGTACAATAAATGTTGGATCAAGGGAATATACAACCTAGTTGCAGTCCTTTTGCGTCACCAGTTGTGTTAGTAGGCAAAAAGGATGGGTCATGGAGGTTATGTGTAGATTATAGAGACTTGAATAAGTCTACTATCAAGAACAAGTTTCTAATTCCTATAGTAGAGGACCTACTGGATGAATTGAGAGGGTCCAAGATATTTTCTAAAATAGACTTAAGGTCTGGATATTATCAACTACGAATGGCTAATGAGGATATGCCTAAAACTGCTTTCAGAAGTCACTCTGGACATTTCGAGTACTTGGTTATGCCCTTTGGATTATCAAATGCTCCAGCTATATTTCAAGGATTAATGAATTCTGTGTTCCAGCAATTTCTAAGGAAGCATGTATTGGTATTTCTTGATGATATATTGATATACAGTAAGACCATAGAAGATCATGTATTGCATTTGAGGTCTGTCTTTTTTAAGATGGTGGAGCACCAGTTATTTGCTAGAAAAAGTAAATGTTTCTTTGGTGTTCGTAGGATTGAATACCTATGTCACTTTATCACAGCGGAAGGTGTGTCTACTGATCCTCAGAAGATCAAAGCAGTTAAAGATTGGCCTGTCCCAACTACTCTTAAGTAGCTGAGAGGGTTCTTAGGCTTAGTTGGTCATTATAGAAGGTTAATCCAAAGGTTTGGGATGATTAGTAGACCTCTCAATGATCTTACAAAGAAGGATAAGTTCAAATGGAATTCCACAGCTCAACAAGCCTTTGTACAATT